TGTGTGTGTGTGTCTGTCTGTCTGTCTCTCTCTCTCTCTCTCTGCAGACGCCGATTCCCATGGAACATCATCCTGCTAACCATCTTTGTAAGTCTAGAAGGGAAATGGGAGACCTAGTGGGGAAAGGGTTGGGGGCACCCTTGTCCTTGGCTGGCCCTGCTCTTGCTTTCCTCTGTGGCTGTCCTTCCCAGTACAGTTACATCTACCTCCAGCTCTGGCAGGGCCATGATGACCACAGTGTTGGGGCTGGAACTTAGAGCCTGATACTGTGTTGAGCCATTCCCAAGAGCCCATGCTGTTCTTAACTGTTTGTCTCATTCTCTCCTTCCCTCAGACTTTGGCTTTGGGCTTTATGACAGGCACTATTTCCAGGTATGTTCAGGGACAGTCCTCCATGCTCTTGGGGAGGGAATGTTGTGGAGGGCTGGGTGACTATGGGCACAATCCTGAACAGAGGGAGCCTCTACTTATGGCTTATGCCTCTGGCCCATCTCAACGCTTCCTTTTTCCCAGTATGTATGAAACCAAAGCTGTCATCATAGCAATGATCATCACTGCTGTGGTATCCATTTCTGTCACCATCTTCTGCTTTCAGACTAAGGTGAGGATGGGGAAGGCCCTTCCCTGGCACCCTGCCCTCTTACATACACACACCCGCTTTGGGTTTGGCACTTGGGCAGGCATGGGAGGGGCAGACTCTTGCAGACCAGGGATTTCCCTAGCCTAATCTCCTGCTCCCATGTCTGTACTTGCCAAGTTGCTTCCTGTATGTTATGTGTCCTTAGCATGTCAATGTCACTGACATGCTCCCAGGAGCAGCACTGGGACCACCCCCCCAACTGGAGCTCAGGGTCAGTCCTCTGGTTTGCTAAGGATGACAGTTATCTGATGTGCCTCTTTCTCCCTTTCTGCTAGGTGGACTTCACCTCCTGTACAGGCCTCTTCTGTGTGCTGGGAATAGTGCTGACAGTGACTGGTATTGTCACAAGCATAGTGCTGTTCTTTGAATATGTGAGTGTCCTGCCACGAGGGCAGGCAGAACCCAAGCAGCAGACTTCCTATTGAGTGGGGGGGGGGGGGCTCTGGCTAACACACCTCTCCATTGGCCAGTGCAGGCACCAACGTAATACCATCCTTTTGGGTTAAGTTATAACAGATTTCTCTCAGGAGGTGGTAAACTATAGCCCCATAGGTCCTGAATAGCACCACTCAGTTCCTATAGGAAGTGGTAGGTTAGCAGAGACCAGGTTCTGTGAGACAAACCTGAAGGACCAAGTCAGGCCTGGATGGAAGGGGCCCTGGGATTGCTGGTTCTGATGCCTTCTTTGCTTCCAGTCAGCTAAGGGAGAGCACAGGGCTGGGGTGGGGTGGGGGGGAGGATCAGAACGAGAGGTGCTGCCCTCTTTACCATGGCTGGTCCTGACCTGTGCACAGGCACTTGGCAGTAGTGTTGAGCAGGGTGGTAGGTTGCTGAGGGGCTTCTCTAAATTGTCCCTAAGGTGGGTCATAGGCGCCAGTGAGCTGCATCCATGAGCTGCTGGGAGCTCACTGTCACAGGCTCTTCAAACAGCATGCACTGGGCTTGGCCCTGGTGACTTCTACTCAGCTGCCTTGTTTCTAGGACCTAGAGTAGACACTCCTGTACTTCACTTGTTTCTAGGACCTAGAGTAGACACTCCTGTATTTCACTTGTTTCTAGGACCTACAGTAGACACTCCTGTATTTCACTTGTTTCTAGGACCTACAGTAGACACTCCTGTACTTCACTTGTTTCTAGGACCTACAGTAGACACTCCTGTACTTTACTAGGTTTCAGTTTGGCTGACAGTTTAACGCGGATATTGCGGGACAGCCTTTGCTGCCTCTGGCAGATAAATCACATTCTCAGTTCCTCCCAGGATCTAGAGAGGCAGGATGGGGCATCCTGGAGATAGCTTCCCTACCTCCCTGCGCTGTAGCTGGAGTCCCAGGGTCAGCTGGCTCTCGTGGGCCTGCTTTGGTCATGCTTTGTTCGGCTTCCTAATGCCATACTGTGCTATTTCACAGATTTACTGGCTCCACATGGTCTATGCAGCTGTGGGGGCCATCTGTTTCACCCTGGTAAGTTTGTTCCCTCTTCTGGGAAGGGAGGTGAGCTGGTGGAATTTAGGCAGCTTGGGAGGTGGGGAGGAGCCATGGACAATTGTCCTCTTTCTTATGTAGGTGTTTTACAAGTTTCTGACCCCCTGCTGTGTTCTGTTCTTATTGTTGGCTGTCCCCGTGTGTCAGTCTTTGGTAGACAAGTGAACTGCTCAAGGGCAGAAACCATGTATCATTAGTGAGCTGTAAGGCTGGCCCAGGACTCTCAGGACATTGTGCTGACAAGAAATGAACCCTGGACACTGAGCTCCTAGCACTCATGTCTGGTTTCCCTGCAGTTCCTGGCTTATGATACACAGCTGGTCCTGGGGAACCGGAAGCATACCATCAGCCCAGAGGACTACATCACAGGCGCCCTGCAGATTTACACAGATATAGTCTACATCTTCACCTTTGTGCTCCAGCTCCTAGGAAATCGAGACTGAGATAGAGAGATGTCCCTTTCACTGGCCTGGGACTCATCCTTTCCTATTGGGCTGGGCCCTAGTCCTGTCTCCCCTCAAGTAATCTGCTCAGTTTCCTCTCCATCCAGGGGATGGGAGGGTCTCTGGCTGTGTTCTGTGAGAGCCATGATGCTGGGGTTACTGGCACCTCTTGCCCTTGGTGGGCTTGGTAAGAACTAGACTGAAGGTATATCTCCTTCCCTTTACCCACAACGAGCATGCACCAAACTTTTCGTGCGCGTGTGTGTGTGCATGTGCGTATGTGTGTGTAGGGGGGAATAGGGAGCCTGTGAACACAGGAGCTCTCAGGTGAAGAGGCTCCTCTCCCACCTCGGCCACATGGTTCTAGGCTAGGAGCTGGAGCTGCTCCCCTCCTGGATCCAATAAAGCTGGATGCTTTGCCCCCACTCCAGTGCTCACAGACCACTCACACTGTCTGAACTCTTTAGGCTTGGCATCTCTTAGCTTTAGAAGCTAGAAGAGACCTGTGCCCTGGGGTCTCTCTGTTCCAACCCCAACTTCCAATAACATGTATCGATTATTTATCTGGACTACGGGAAATGACAGTGAGCAAAGTTCATTCAGTATGGGGCTAACACAGAATGGCATCCCCCCTGGCTGGCACCCATCTTGGCTACCATCCAGACCCAAAGTGCTTGGAGCCTTCTGAGGCTTTTAAAATCTGACCTAGAGGGACCTCCTACTTTGCTTTGACACACAGAGGTGGAGGTCAGCAAGTGAGGTGGATTGTGGGATCCTGGTGTGGCTGGGAAGCAGTCTGGGTGAGAGATGAGTGGGGACAGGGAAAGTGCCTTGGGTGCCCTCTCTGGTCTGAGAAACACTGAAGTCTACTCTGGTGCACAGTGACCTTCCTCTCTAACACAAGTTCAATCTGTTCTGTATTCCCACTGGGAGATTTCAGACTAAAACCCCCTCTTCAAGCCAGCTGCTGCTTGCTATGTAATCTAAGTGCCTTGAGCTGGTACCAGGGTGGGGATAGAAGCCAGTTTATCAGGTGGGGTAGAAACCTTACAAGGACATAGAGCTATTCTGTCCAGTATTTGATTCTGAATATGTCACAAAGGAACACAACTAGAAATGTAATAAAGTTTTATGTTTGGCAGGAAGATCTTGACTGGCTGTGGCTTTCTTTTTTTTTTTTTCTGGGGTTTTCAAGACAGGGTTTCTCTGTGTAGCCCTGGCTGTCCTGGAACTCACTCTGTAGACCAGGCTGGCCTCGAACTCAAAAATCCACCTGCCTCTGCCTCCCAAGTGCTGGGATTAAAGGCGTGCGCCACCACCGCCCAGCCTGGCTGTGGCTTTCTTAACTGTAAGGTGGTAACCTGTTCTATGGAACCAAGCAGGTTTTCTTGGAATCGTTCTTGGTGATGGGTGAGACAGGCTGCTGAAATGACAAAAGTTGCCTAGGGAAGGAGCTCAAGTCTGCAGTACTGGCTCCAGAAGGGGGTTCTTACCATCCTGCTGGATCACCTGTGTATCTGTAAAAAGCAGCCTAGCTTTCATTTCCCCAGGAAGCTGTGTCTTTATAATTTTTTTTTTCTAGACAGGAAAGGGGCTAGACCATGGGCTTAGAATGTCTTGGAAACTAGTTTCTCTTACAAAGGAGGAAAATGAGCCCAGAGAAGCTGACATATTTAAATGCATTTTTTTTTTTAATTTTCTTCCACACCCTGAATGCTACATTTGATCTTTTGTTTCTTTTGTTTTGAGGCAAGGTCTCTATTATTTTGCTCTGGCTGTCTTGGAACTCTGGCTTCAAACTCAAAGATCCACCTGCCTCTGCTTTCTGAGTGCTGAGATTAAAGATGTCCATGCCTGACTAATTTTCACCGGTTTAGGCTGCATGGGGAGCTACTCTCCTAACCAGTGGCTCTTAAGACTTGGGTCACCAGGGCCTGTTCTTAGGCTTGCTGTGGTTATTTCACCCATCTGGAAACACAGGTCTGTGAGGGAACAGGGATGAACAACTAGTCCCACTCTGACCCTCCCCTCGAGCTTAGAAAAGCAGCCTTACTTCCTTTCCACGACAGTCCTTAATAACTTTATTTGCATTTGGCTCCTTCCACCGAGTGGAAGAGGTGGGTGCTGGCAGCTGTCTGGGCATCATGCGCCCTCTGGTGGGCCTCAGGAGCAATGGACACAATTGGCCACACAGGCTGTCAGTCAATAGTGTAGCACAAGGTTGTAGTAATCCTCACTCAGGTCTGTACCCCAGACCCAGCTTCAGGGGACTGGACTTGTTGGGGCAAAGCCCTGAACCTCTGGCTCTCATACTCGCCCGTGTTAGACACCCGCATGTTCTGACGAGCCTTCATCTGCTTCAAGCGGTCCTTGTCCACTTCCTGCTTGGTGAGGACGAAGAAGAGGATACCACAGGGGAAGCCGATGGCCCTAGGGATGGGGAGATGTGCACCGGGTTTGGGCAGGGACTGGGACTGAGCCAGAGGAGCTAGAAGAATCAGTCCAGCTTTGCCACTTGTACAAATGCTGTGGTGAGACATCTTCTGTTTACCTGTCCTTTGTGCTGAGTGCTGGAGGGACCCAACAAACCAGAGCCTCCTGCTGCTGCCTGCTTTAGACCACCATAGTAATTCTCTATTACATCCTGGCCAACTCCAAACTCCTAGGTATGGCACTAAAAGCCCAGTGTGGTCTACCTACCTCTTCATTTCTCCTCTTATGGCTGGTATTCATGAGCCTCTTCACTTCTGTGAATGCTTCTGTGTGATAGCCTAAGCAGCCCAGGATTGCTCTGAGTTAGCAAAAGACCTCTCTACATACACTGTCTCATGTCCCTTGCCCGACCCCTCTATTTTTCTTTATGGTGTTGCAAATTGAACTTAGGGCTTCAAGACATTAAGCATGTGCGCAACCACTAAGGGACATCGACCAACTCTCCATCTGAGCAACTGCTTCTAAAATAGGGCCTTGGTAAGGGCCAAAGAACAGGAAGCCACTAGAGCTGGTGACAGTCGCAGCTGGGGGCCTCTGTTCCCTCCTTGGCGAGATGGAAGTGCAGTGTTTACCTCAGAAAGCTTAAAACATTATATGGCAAAGTACTGTCATACCTCAGACATTTGCTGGAAAAAAATTAATTTCCCTCCCTTTTACCTTAGTGACTGATAATCAGTAATATGTATTAAAGCCAGAATCAGAACCACAGAACTCACAGAAACACATCTAGCTTCTATACAACACAAGCTGAAACTATTTTAATTAATTACTGGGACTGGAATGTTACCCCTGCTCCCAAAGGAAAGAAGGATGAATCCAGTGACTCTAATCAGATCAGCTCAATTTGCTGCACAGAAAAGCCACTGTCCCCCAGTTTTACATATCGTTCCACTCTCACCTCACCCCACTCTTCTGAGATTCCATCCCTTGACTCCAGCAATTTCCTTCCCTTGGATTCAGCTTTCCACCTGCAACTTGGAGAAGTTTCTAGGTCCCAACACCTTTCAGTGCACTCCCCACTGGCAGGCAAAGGGGAAGTTACAACTCACCAGGCTAGTCCCACAGCTTTCATGGGGTTCTTGCCCCTCTTTCTGGGAATGTATTCTAGCTCAGGGGAGAGGGGCTCAGGCTCCTCCTTGCATTCTGGTGAGCCGTGGCTCTGCAGTGCTCTGGTCCTGTTCTGGGAAGCCTTGTTAGCCGTGGCTCCAGAGAGAATCCCTGTGAATCAAAGAACGGCATGTCAGTACGGGAGATGAGGAAGGGGAATAGTGGTTGAGATTTGAGGAAGGGGAGCGACTGCAGTTTGGAGTAACAAGGGCTGTGAAGAATCTAAAGAGAAATGGGAAAATCGCCATCGGGTGACACCTTTGGAAGCTACTTCCACGTCACTGCGGGCTCCTCACCCTGGTGCCAAGGCAGTGAGCTTCGCTGCTGTTCTATTCAGAAGCCAGGCTGGGAAGGACTGCAGAGGAACTCACCGGAGACATACGTATGAAGGAAATCCGGGGAACTGTTTTAAAACTGCAGGACCTTAGCTATCCTTAAGGATAACTAACTCAATCAAGTCGAAGAGGAAGCTGAAGCCCGGAGAGACGAGCTGCTTCACACAAGGTCAAACCGCTAATTACTCAGTGCTAGAACTCAAGCCTCCAGAAGCCTAGGGCTCTTTCCTCTGCACTGCGGTGAGTGTGAAACCCCTGGGACGCGGGAGTCTAACGGTTTCTCTGTTACTCTCTCTAGCAATAAGACCCTAGACATGCCGCGCAACCTAAATGCAGGGGTTAGACTGGGTGACCTCTAGAGCATTTTTCACCCCCAGACTCTCTAAGATCTAGCAGAGAGGTGTGGGCAGCAATTGGCATCCTGACTTCCTGCTGTCGCGCTGGGTGGGATGTGAAGGAAACGGAATCTTTTAGAACCCTGCCCTCCCGAGGGTCCCTCTCCTTACCCCGGAGGACGCGGGCATTTCTCGCCCCCCGGCCCTTCAGCGCCGTAGCAGCCACCACCGCCGCCATGTTCGGGTCCCACCCCCCTTCACTGCACTCCCCGTCGGGAATTGTAGTTTGCGTAAGGGGCCTCCCCCGCGCCTGCCGTCCTGCCTACAGAGCAGAAACTACATTTCCCAACAGCCCGCGTAGCAGGCCCGGGAGAACTACTCCTCCCAGGAGACCCCGGAGGCGCGCACGCTCGCTTGTTTCCCTCCAGCTGGGGGCGGAGTCCTGTAGGGTGGAGCTTGTGCTCTCCCGCCACGCCCCGGCCTGATCATCCTAGTTCTGCCTTATGATTGGCGACTCTGTTAGTCCACCACTGTCGCTATTGGCCCGGATGCCGTCGCTCTTTCGGCCGGGAGTCACCTACGCCTACTTCCTCCCGGGAGGAGGGGCTCGAGTTCCGCGTCGTCGCGCAGAGCAGACTCTGGGAGGCGTTTGGGCCCAGAGAAGTGGATCGGTAGCTTTCGCCGCATGGAGTCCGAATCGGAGAGCGGAGCGGCCGCTGACACCCCGCCTCTGGAGACTCTGAGCTTTCACGGAGATGAAGAGATCATTGAGGTGGTAGAGCTGGATCCAGGCCCGCCGGACCCGGGTGAGAACTGACGCTCCTGAGGCCACGGGACAGGAGGCGCTCACCCCTGGCCTCTGACCCCTGCTTCTCCCCAGTTCCCCCTCCCCCCTTCCCTACCGGTCGTTCCTACCGACATTTCTCTCCCGGACCTCCCTCCCTACCCCCCCACATTTAGTTTCTAGGCCTGCCTGGGTGGGGGTTCCTTGACGCCTCCTCTGGCCCTTCCCCTCACACACCCCCTTCCCATCATGCCCTCTGTCCTCTCTTCCCACACGGTCGCTGGCCAACACTAGGTCTTCAGACCTAGCCTCTCTCCCCCTCCCCGCCCCCCAAGTGCTCTCTTCCTGCTCGGTACGTGTGGGACAACACTTTAACCTTTGACCACATGACCCACCCTCGTGTCACCTTTTTCATTCTTCAGCCCTTACCCCATTCCTTCTATATCTTTTGAGCTCCATCTTTTAACGCTTCTCCCAAAGCAGATGATCTGGCCCAGGAGATGGAAGACGTGGACTTTGAGGAAGAGGAAGAAGAAGAAGAGGGCAATGACGAGGGCTGGGTCCTGGAACCCCAGGAAGGGGTGGTCGGTAGCATGGAGGGCCCGGATGATAGTGAGGTCACCTTTGCATTGCACTCAGGTAGGCCTTTGAAGGGATCACCTCAGATCAGTACAGATGGGCTCTTGAGTATGGCCCGTTGGCCCTGGACAGGTATTATGAGAGACAGATGTGAAAAGCCACCCACTTTGGCCTGCAGGATATTCAAAGGAGGGGCCAAAGGGCACTGGGGTTAAGTGAGACCCCTGGGTTCAAATCCTACCTCTGCTGTTTAGCAGCCTGTCACCTTTGTTAGTGTTCTGAATCTTGGTGTTCTTTAAAAAAAAAGTTATATTGGATGAAAGTGAATGGAAGTAACCTAAGAGGAAGTTAAAGGCAGTTTACACTCCAAAAGGAGCATAGCCAATAACCTCAGATGCCAGCCTCATGAAGGTCTCATAACTTCCTTCATACCTAGCCTGGTATGGCCTGTGCACATGAAGCCACCTCTTGGCTTGCACCTCAGAGTGTGGTAAGGGGAACAGAACAGCAGGGGGATATGCTCTGGAGGAGGACTTGGAGCTTTGTGGGCTTGGAAGGATTTCTTATAACAATCTGATGCTGCAAACAAGAACTGGATGCAGCCTTCCCAGGAAAGAATAACTATGGCTTTGGGAAAAGGGAGTGTGCTTCTTGAAGCTTCTGAAAGGCAGAACTCTAGGCGAGAGCCCAGTTCCACCCCCTTCTCATTGAACTATGTCTTGGGACAGCATCTGTGTTTTGTGTGAGCCTGGACCCCAAAACCAACACCTTGGCTGTGACGGGGGGTGAAGACGACAAAGCCTTTGTTTGGAGGCTCAGCGATGGAGAGCTTCTCTTTGAGTGTGCAGGTGAGAGGCTGGGGAGGCAGGTGGCCCCTGTGAATACCCAGCGGCTGTTTACTGGCCTCTGTCTTGTGGTGGATCCAGGAACCCACGACAGAATAATAATAACGGTTTGGTAGGCATTGGGACAGGAAATGCTGATAGGCCAAGGGAGGCTGGCTAAGATGAGGGTTGGTGCTGGTGTAGGGTATGCGGAGGCACAGAGAAAAGGCTCTGCTTGCTTACCAGTGGGGCCAGTAGTATCTGTTCTTGGGAAACCTGGAGTGTCTGCTCCCTGGAGCTGCAGCAAATTTGGCCCCTTGTTTGCTGAAGTCCTTCTACCATTTTTTTTTTCTGCTCAATTGCTTTTAAAAGGTGACTAGATGAATGGGTCATAGGTCCCCAGCATTCAGGTATTTTTTAATGTTCTTTTTCTGCCACTTGTTCTTTTTTAAGGTTATATAGTTGGGTTGGCCTTGGATGTAGCCAAGGCTAGCCTCAAACTTGTTACATCTCTTAGGCAAATTTGAGTTCAAACTCTGCCTACTTCTCTCTGCTGCAGGCCACAAAGACTCTGTGACATGTGCTGGTTTCAGTCACGATTCCACCCTAGTGGCCACAGGGGACATGAGTGGTCTTCTGAAAGTGTGGCAGGTAGACACCAAGGAAGAAGTCTGGTCCTTTGAAGCAGGAGACCTGGAGGTGAGATCCTTGGAGTGGGTATCAACTCTGTGGAACTTGAGATCGAGTGCTTCTGGGAGGGCTAGCGCCAGGCATATCCAGATCTGCTGGAGAAGTTTGCCTTGAACCATGGCACCCCTAGCTCTAGCAGTGTATCTGTTCGCCTACAAAGTTCTCGCTGACTTAGAAGGTCACACCTTTGATAAGGTTCATGGACTCAGGTAGGCTGGGTAGCAGGCCTTGCTTACTGATCCTCCCTCTCTGACCAGTGGATGGAGTGGCACCCTCGGGCCCCTGTCCTGTTGGCGGGCACAGCCGATGGCAACACTTGGATGTGGAAGGTTCCAAATGGTGACTGTAAGACCTTCCAGGGCCCCAACTGCCCTGCAACCTGTGGCCGCGTCCTCCCTGATGGTAAGAGCAATTGCGTCTTCCTGGGGTAGAGGTGGATCCAGTGACTTGGGGGTACTTCAGTCATCCCAGTCTCCTGCCCTATACTTGGTCTTACCTGTGACTCCAGGGGGAATTTGGGGACCCCCTACTCTATCCTCCCTGCTCCTTCTTTCCTTGGTGTGTTTGAGTGCCCTCTGTCCTCTGGTTGTCTGTGCCTTGGTCCTTAGGGAAGAGAGCTGTGGTAGGGTATGAAGACGGGACCATCAGGATCTGGGACCTCAAGCAAGGAAACCCCATCCATGTACTGAAAGGTATCAGAGAGGGTGGGGGGTGTTTTCCTTGTCTGGGAGGGAGGAGCCTGAGAGCCAGGTCCCGGAACCTCTGTCCACCTGCTCTGTTCTAGGGACTGAGGGTCATCAGGGCCCTCTGACCTGTGTTGCTACCAACCAGGATGGCAGCCTAATCCTGACTGGCTCTGTGGACTGCCAGGCCAAGCTGGTCAGTGCCACTACTGGCAAGGTAAGTAGCTTAGGCTTCTGTCTGAACCGTCTGTCCCTCCCCTGTCCTTTTCTCTTTACCCAGGTCTGTGAGCCTCTTCTCTTTTCTATAGGTGGTGGGTGTGTTCAGATCCGAGACAGTCGCCTCTCAGCCCAGCCTGGGAGAGGGGGAGGAGAGCGAGTCTAACTCTGTGGAGTCCTTGGGCTTCTGCAGTGTGTGAGTGTGAGCAGAGCCTTGGCCTGGAGACCCAAGAGACTGAGGGAGGAGGTGGCTTTGGGGAGGGATCCAGGTATTGGGACCAGGGAGGAGGGAAGGTGTGTGAATCTAGGGCCTCAAGAGCCTTCTTGTGTCACCTGCTTCTCAGCATGCCTCTGGCCGCTGTTGGCTATCTAGATGGAACCTTGGCCATCTATGACCTGTCTACACAGACACTCCGGCACCAATGTCAGCACCAGGTATGATGTCTGGTGTTTTGCTCCTACTCAGTGGGCTGTTGTGTTGGCTAAAGGGCAGCCTGTCCTCTGTGGCCCCACCCTCTGAGGGTAGGGATGGGGGTCTTCTCTTCTCCCTCCTGATTTGTGCCCTCCTCTGTTACTGTGTCACATTCCGGGACAGTCGGGCATTGTTCAGCTGCTGTGGGAGGCTGGCACTGCTGTGGTGTATACCTGTAGCCTGGATGGTGTTGTTCGTCTCTGGGATGCCCGGACTGGCCGCCTGCTTACTGACTACCGGGGCCACACTGCTGAGATCCTGGACTTTGCCCTCAGCAAGTAAGCATTGTGGGCTGGCAGCTCGAGAAAGTGGGTTTAGTGTGAGGTAGCACAGGTCCTTTGTGGATGGGAGGGGATTCCTAAGGGAAATGAGACCCAATACCCGGCTGCATCCTGTGATAAAGGTATTCCAGGCCGTCCACCTGTGCAGGCACACACAGTCCTAGAATCCAGCCCTATCCCAGCAATTGGCAGTGAACTACCCATTGTGGGGACTGAGGCTGAGAATTAAGCTGTCCTATGTGGTCTGTGTTCCTCCCATGTTAGGGGTTTCCTTCACTGATTCTCTTATTTGCGTGGACATAGTTGAATCAGCTCCCTAGCTTTAGGAGAAGAGTCTGAGAACCAGATGCAGACTCAGGCAGGGGCCAGCAATAGCGGTGATGCTGGAGCCGCTGCCTCAGGACCCCTGGGAAATGGGCTTGCGCTCGGCTTTAGGTTCCTTCATCCTTTGACCCTTGTGTTCTCTCTACAGAGATGCTTCCCTGGTGGTGACCACATCAGGAGACCACAAAGCAAAAGTATTTTGTGTCCAGAGACCTGACCGTTAACGGCTGCAGCCTCTGGCATGGTGTCTGGTGTTGAGAGGGATAAAGGGACACCCCTGCCCCCCAGCAGAGGTGCGGGGTGCAGAGGGAAGAGGAGGGGAGAACATTGGACTGCTTTCCAAGCCCTTCAGCTGACCTGCCTACTCCTGTCCTTTTCCTCCCTGGAGACCCGCC